AGGTGCCCAGACAGATGCAGCTCCTGAAAGCCCAGATCTTGCGGGGCTTCTGCCCACAAGCCCTCCCTACCACCCTCCTGCATTTTTGGTTCTGCTCTGTCCACTCAGACCCTCTCAGCGCAGGGCCCTGGTCCACCTCCTCCAGGAAGCCCTCTGGATTGCACCTTCCACACCGACTCCTCAAGACGAGCAGCCCCTGGAGGGGCCTGCACGTGTGGCCCTGTACCTCCTCCCCACAGGAGCCAGGCCAGAGCCCAGGGCTGGGTGGCCAAGCCCACTCGGTGGGGTCACTAGGCATGAGGTGTGGGCAAGCTGAGCCGGCCCAGGGGAGGAGCAGATCCATGTGGTCATTGGTGATGTAGTTACCACACTGGGCGCCCAGCGTTAAGTGTGTGTGCGTGTGGGGGGGGGCAGTACTAGAAGAGCACACCCATACCCGGCTAGAATCTGCCCTTCTAGGTGGCCCGTCGTGGCCGACAAGTGGACCTCAAACAGCCTTCAGACTTAGTACCCTTTCTGCCAGGGCGGGGGGAGGGGGTGGGGGGTGAGGAGGAGGAAGAAGAGCAGGTGTTCTGGGTGGTCCTGGGTAGTCTTGGGGGACCCGTGTGCCATTGGGCCCAGGCTCCTAACCCCTGCCTGCCCTCTGGACCTCTAGGTGGCCCTCATCCATTTCTTCTTCAACCTGGCCGGCATCCTGCTGTGGTACGTGGTGCCCATCCTGCGGCTGCCCATCCCGTTGGCCAAGCGCTTCGGGGACCTGACGGCCAACTACCGCTGGGTGGCCATTGCCTACTTGCTGCTCAGCTTCCTGCTGTTGCCCCTGGCAGCCTTTGGGCTCTCCCTGGCAGGGAGCACGGTGCTGGCTGCAGTCGGGGGACCCCTGGTGGGGCTGGTGCTCCTCCTCATCCTGATCAATGTCCTGCAGCGACACCGGCCAGCCTGGTTGCCCCACCGTCTGCGGTCCTGGGCCTGGCTCCCACTCTGGCTCCGTTCTCTGGAGCCCTGGGACCGCCTGGTCAGCCGCTGCTGCCCCTGCAGGGTGTGCGGCCCCCCTCAGGCTGCTGCCAAGGAGGATCACTGCTATGAGAACCCTGAGGTCCTGGCCTCCCAGCAGTTGTGAAGGGGGGCACCCCCATTTCACTGACTCCTGGGTGCCCTGGGGGATCCCAGAAGCAGAGACTTCTGAGGCACCTGGCTTGCCTTCTTTGCAAATAAACAAGGCTGAGACCCAGGTGTGAGTGGTCTTCAGTCCCCTGCCTAAGGAGGGCCCCTGACCGGGCTCCGAGGCCAGCTGGAAGTGGACAAGCACCAGCTGTCCCCCAGTTGACACCCGGGACCCACTGCAAGCCTGAGTGGGTGTGGGCACACAGCTAACCCCAGAGTCCCAGGCTGTAACTCTGTTTCTCTCCTGAGCCTCTGGGGACAGGAGGTGCCAAGTGGCGGCCAGTCTGGAGTGTGGAGATATCCGTCAAAAAGTATCTGTGGCTGGACGTGGCCGGGACTCTTCCCCCTGGGTGAAGGAGGGAGGGGCTGCTGGCTCCCATGCCCCACCACCCGCAGACGGCGCACCCTAGGAGTCAGGTGGTTGGTGCTGGCAGCCCCTCTGGGGGCCAGCCTCATGGGTCCCCCAAGTGCCCAGGGAGCGAGGAGGGGATGAGTGAGGACCAGGAGGCCCCAGGCTCCCCCCTCCCATGCTGCTCTCTCTCTCTCTCTCTCTCTCTCTCTCTCGGATGGGCAGGGCGCAGGGCGGTGTCCATGTGAGACACAGGCATAGGGCTGCCATGGGCCCAGCAGAGCAGGCAGTCAGCGCCCCCCCGCCCCCCGTAAACCCACCAGGAAGTAAGTCCTCCCGGCAACCCCTAGAGTCACCCGCACCCGGAGCCCAAGTCTCCACGCTGTGTCAAACCCCTCGGCCGAGAGGCGGGCGAAGGTCAGGTGAGCCTGAGCACCGTCCCTTCCACCTGAGGGTGCGTCCCCCCACGGGGACTTCTGCCCACCCCCTGCCCAGGGCCCGTAAGGCTTGTCTGCCTGCCAGCTGGTAAGGAAACTCCAGGAAGCAGTCTGGGCCTCCCACCTTCCAGCCCAGGGCTTCCCACAACACACTTCCCCGGAAATACCATGAGGAGAAAACAAAGCTTCTTCAGTAGGATTAAGTCTGTGGCCCAGAACTCACGCACTGAGGGGCACACACCCACAGACCAGAGGTGGAGGTGACTCTGAGCAGGGGTTTGGCTTGCCCCAGGTCTTAGTATGCTGCTGTGGTCAGTCACCTCTTCCTTGTCCAGAGAATGCTGCCCTGATGGAGGGGCACCTCCTCCCCAGCCCTCCAGGTGTGCCCACCTAGGCCCAGTGTGGGGAGAGGAGGCCTGGGGAACCTTGGGGCCAATGCTTGTCCATGGTCCTGTCTTCATTCCCCTCAGAACTCCCAGCCCTCAGTCCCCTCAGTGCCCTAATACCTCAGCACCCCATGTCCCCCTGCTCCTCTCAGTCCCCTCACTCTCCATGTCCCCTGTCCCCCCCCCAACAAGCTTCCAAGCCTGGGGTTCGCTGCCCACCAAGGGAGATAGCTACCTGTTTGGGGCTCAGGAGAGCAAGACCCCGGGGCAGGCTCATACATTCCAGCTTGGCCCCCCCAACCCAACTTCTATGCCCTCAGGACGCTCCTGGGGGTGGACATCAGCCTCATGGTCCCTGAGGTGGAGCTGGGCCTGGCCAGTTCCCTGGGGACATGGGTGGGGAGCTCTCCCTCCCTACGCTGGAGACACAGAGAGGGGAAGAAAGTACTCCATGCACACTTTCCGGGGCGGGTGAGGCCGCCCACAAAGGCTGACTGCGGGTCCTTTGAGGCCGTGAACGGCTGTCTGCCCGCTGCCCCTGCCTGGCGGTAACGCACCCTCCCGCTGGGACCATGGCCACGAGTAAACAGAGCCTTCATTTGTGGATGCCGCCAACAGCTGCAGGCCGGGGCGGGAGGGCCAGGTGCCCAGCACTCCCACGGCCCCTGCCCAGGCTTCCCTGCACTTCCGGCCCTTTCTGCCCTGCATCCCTCCTGGCCACAGACCTCCACTGGGGCTGGCCCACCTCTCCACACTGTGGCAGGAACACCTTAGCCCAGGGTGGGGGTCTGCAGGGCCTCCCCCAACCAGCCCTGTGCAGCAGCAGGCACCGTGTTCCTGGGGCTCACACCCGAGGGCCGCAGGGAGACTTCTGCGGTCTTGTTCTCAGTGTCCATCTCCCTGAGGCCACGGGAGGGTCAAGATGGACAACCTCGTGTCTCGGAGCTCCAGGGCTCACACCTGGGCAGAATGTGGGCATCTCAGGCCACACGGCTTGGGGCAGGGGGGTGAGCAGAGAAGGCTTTGACAAACACGTCACTGACTCACTAGGGAAAACATCCGAGCTTCTCCCTTTCTCACCTGATCGGTTTGTGGGTTTATGACTGCCGCAGAGCCTGGGCCTTGCCGGCAGCTGCTTGGGCAGCTGAGCTACTTTGCAGGGCACAGTGAGGAAACCAGGATGCCTGCGCCCAAGCCGAGCGGGGAAGGCCTGCGGGCCATAGCAGCTGGGCCCACCTCCCTGCGCAGGTATGTATGTTGGGGGAGGGCGCGGGCTCTCGAAGGCCCGGCTGCACGGACGGAGCTCGGACGTGCTGACTCACCGTCCGGGCCAGGACTGCAGCCCGGGAGCGGCGCAGCCGCAGACCGCTCTCCAGGGGAGGAAATTGCTAATGCCAGCACGCTGCTCGTCCCAACAATCTCATCGACAGATTCCGCGGGGACGCTGCATCCCATCATACGTTTTAAGACCGCGTGTGTGCCCTAATGCCGCAGCGCGGAGCACTGTGCGGGGTCAGCCGAAGAGCTGCCTTGTTTACAGGGAGGAATAGGCAGCCAGGCATGGCCCCGGCACCCACGGGGTAAGACGCTCACTGAGGAAACCAGAATCTAGGGAGGCTCCACGGTCACAGCAAGGGACACGTTCAAGGCAGACCCAGGGGCGTGATTCAGTCGTGTTGGAAGATTATAAAAACATGCCGCAAGGGCAATTTTTAAAAGCGATTGACTGAAGGTGCGACCACACGTCATTGAACAGTTTTCCCGCATAGACTCCCCCCTCCGAACGTCAGCGAAAAGTAAAAGCATCTGTCAGCGCAGGTATGGCCGGGGCGGCAGGGTCAGGGGGCCCGGACGGAGGTCGGGGCCCGCCCGCGTCTCCACGCAGCTCTGTGCGCTCCTGGGGCCGAGGCACCAGGCGACCGGCGCGGAGCCAGCGCCGTCTCCACAACAAGTGCGCGGCCGCCGGGCAGCCCCCGCCCTCCCCGGGGGCAGCGGCCCCACGTGCTCCCTCACCTGACCGCCACCGGGGCGGGCGTGCGGAGCCCCCGCCCCCCTCCTCCGCGCCGAGACCCCCCCACCCCTCGTTTCGCCGCCCTGGGTCCCGGCAGCCGCCCCGGGGAAGGCGCTCGGCGGGCCGGACGCTCGGCGGGCCGGGCCCGCGCGCTCGCCCCCCCGGGGCTGCAGTCTCCAGCTCGCGTGCGCGCCCGGCCCGCAAGGGTGCAGCCCCGCGCCGCCGCCCCACCTGCATTTCTCCGGGCGCCGACCCCGGGCTGCGCCCCCCCCGCCCCCGGCCCGGCCCGGCCCGCCGGCCCTCCCCGGGACGCCCGCCCGCCCGCGCGCGTCCCCGCGGCACTGCGGCGGTTACCAGGACGCCGGCCCCGGGCGCTGTGCTCCCCGGAGCCGGCCAATGAGGGGGCAAATCAATCATTTGAAACATCCAATGGACAGGGCACTGCGGCGCGAGGGCGGGGGCTTTGATAGGGAGAGCGGAGGCCGCGGCGGACCAATAAAGAGCGAACGGCCTTGGGGAGGCGGGCGCTGGCGGCCGGACTGACGGGAAACGCAGCCAATCAAGCCAGGACGCTTGCCAGCCTCGTTCTGGCAGCCCAATAGGAGGCTGGCGGGGGCGGGCGCGGCGGGTATATAAGCGTTGGCGGAGCGTCGGTTGTAGCACTCTGCGCGCCCGTTCCTCCGCTCTTGCGTCCGTGCTTCCGCCAGCGCCGCTAGCGCCTCCGCCGCTGCCGCCGCCGCCGCTGCCGCCGCTGCCGCCGCCGCCATGAGGGAGATCGTGCACCTGCAGGCCGGCCAGTGCGGCAACCAGATCGGCGCCAAGGTGAGCAGGGGGGCGCCTGGGGCCCGGCGCGGGTGTCCCGGGCGGACGGGCGGGCGGCAGGAAAGATGGCGGCAGCGGGCGGGTGGGAGGGCGGCCACCCGCATTGCGGCCCGGCACGGGGTCCGGGCCGGGGCGGCGCGGACGTCCGGGGACGGACCTGACCTGGCGGCGGCGGCGGCGGCGGAGGCGGCGGCGTGGGGGGAGGGGAGGGCCGCGCCCATCCGGGGCGGGGCCGGCTCCGGGCCCCGCCGGCGTGACTCAGCCCGAGCCCGGCCCGCCCGCGTCCCTCGCAGTTCTGGGAGGTGATCAGCGACGAGCATGGCATCGACCCTACCGGCACTTACCATGGCGACAGCGACCTGCAGCTGGAGCGGATCAACGTGTACTACAACGAGGCCACCGGTGAGACGCCACGCCCCTTCCCCAACTCCTTCCTGCCGTCCCGCGGCCCTCTCCTCGCTGACGTCCTCCTCCCCCTCCCCCCAACCCGCTCCAGGTGGCAAGTACGTGCCCCGCGCTGTGCTCGTGGACCTGGAGCCGGGCACCATGGACTCCGTGCGCTCGGGGCCCTTCGGGCAAATCTTCAGGCCAGACAACTTCGTCTTCGGTGAGCCGCGGCATGGGGGCTGGGCGGCGGCCTGATAGCCGGGCGGCTCAAAGGTCAGGGGGCGCCCAAGGTCACTGCCGGCAGCACCGCAGAGCTGAGGTCCTGACCCGCTCTGCCCTCTGGGCAGAAGCTCGCGCCCCGGGACACCTCCTCCCCATGGAGTCTCTCAATCTCCTAAAGCGGCTTTGGGAGGAGGGCCCAGCTGTCCACCTGCAGGGAAGGAGCCGGCAGATGTAATCTTTCTGCTACAAACATGGAGTAGGAGGCGGCGGGAGCTGTGTTTGCAGCTCATCTGTCCTTGAGAATTGGCAGGGGCTGCCTGTGGGAGGGCATGGCTTATTGTGAAGCCATCTTGGCTTGACCCCTAACTTAATTTTTAAACGGGTGGGTTATCGCTTTATCAGTTGGGGAGTCTGTTTGCTGTACCTGTAGGCTGAGCTCTGTGTGTCCCCTTCCACCGCATTATTTGGGCTTTTTGGCATGGGTGACCAGTGGTGACCACGTGCCCAGCAAAGAGTGACTGGCTGCCCTCTTCCAGGTCAGAGCGGTGCTGGGAACAACTGGGCCAAGGGGCACTACACAGAAGGCGCGGAGTTGGTCGACTCGGTGTTGGATGTTGTGAGGAAGGAAGCTGAAAGCTGCGACTGCCTGCAGGGCTTCCAGCTGACCCACTCCCTGGGTGGGGGGACTGGGTCCGGGATGGGTACCCTCCTCATCAGCAAGATCCGGGAGGAGTACCCAGACAGGATCATGAACACATTCAGTGTGGTGCCCTCGCCCAAGGTGTCGGACACGGTGGTGGAGCCCTATAACGCCACCCTCTCGGTCCACCAGCTTGTAGAAAACACAGATGAAACCTATTGCATTGATAACGAGGCCCTCTATGACATCTGCTTCAGAACCCTAAAACTGACCACACCTACCTATGGGGACCTCAACCACCTGGTGTCAGCCACCATGAGTGGGGTCACCACCTGCCTGCGCTTCCCTGGCCAGCTCAATGCTGACCTGCGCAAGCTGGCTGTCAACATGGTCCCCTTCCCCCGCCTGCACTTCTTCATGCCCGGCTTCGCCCCACTGACCAGCCGAGGCAGCCAACAGTACCGGGCCCTGACGGTGCCTGAGCTCACCCAGCAGATGTTCGATGCCAAGAACATGATGGCCGCCTGCGACCCGCGCCACGGCCGCTACCTGACTGTGGCCGCCGTGTTCAGGGGCCGCATGTCCATGAAGGAGGTGGACGAGCAGATGCTGAACGTGCAGAACAAGAACAGCAGCTACTTCGTGGAGTGGATCCCCAACAACGTGAAGACGGCCGTGTGCGACATCCCACCCCGAGGGCTCAAGATGTCGGCCACCTTCATTGGCAACAGCACGGCCATCCAGGAGCTGTTCAAGCGCATCTCGGAGCAGTTCACCGCCATGTTCCGGCGCAAGGCCTTCCTCCACTGGTACACGGGCGAGGGCATGGACGAGATGGAGTTCACCGAGGCCGAGAGCAACATGAACGACCTGGTGTCCGAGTACCAGCAGTACCAGGACGCCACGGCCGAGGAGGAGGGCGAGTTCGAGGAGGAGGCCGAGGAGGAGGTGGCCTAGGGCTGTTACCGGTAAAGCGCGTGGGAGCGTGTGAACTCTTTATTCACTCACAACCTGTTCTCCGTGTGCACTTGCTCTCCTTCCTGTCTTGACGTCACGTGCTGTACAGACGCCACCATTAAAGCATTTTCATAGTGTCTGGTGTCGCCTTTCCAGTTCCTTCCGATAGGCCTCGCGGCTGCTGTTGCCAAACGTCAGCGCGTAGTTGTCCTGCGCGGCTACAAGGGGCTGTGCTCAGCTGAGCCCCTGGCATTGCCCCACGCCCAGCTAAGGGTCAGCACGGGCTCTGGGCTGCCCTGGGCGCCTGCCTCCTGCCCGGCCTGGCCGCAGTGAACCTCTGGAGGGCCAGTCACCCAACGCCTCCCTATGGTGGCCTGGTCACTGCGCCCTTGTCTAGGAGGTAGGTGAGGGGACCCACTGGGTACGTACATGGTATGAACCCCATGTAGAAAGGTATCAGGCCCTGGCTGTTGTAGATGGTGTTGCTAGGCCAGTGTGTTCTGGGCAGCCTCTCACCCAGGGCACAGATGGGGTTTCTGAAGAGGAACTGTGGAAACAGGCAGGTATTGACGTGTGCTACCCTCCCCAGCTCAGCCAGTAAGCAGTAGGTCAGGGTGGGGGCTGGGGTCAGAGAGAGAAGCAGGACTAGGGCACAAAGGGTAAGAGCCCTGTTGTGTCGCCTGGCACAGCGTTTCCCCTAGAACCGCTGTGAAAAGTGGGGCCTGACTCCTTCCAGGGGTCTCCTCTGTCTTACCCGCCCCCCACAGCACTCCGGAGCAGGGAGCCTAGACCCGGTCAGGAGAACAGATGGGTTCCTTCCCGGGCTTCTCAGAAGGGCTACCCTTCACGGCCCCCTCCAGGGAAGCCAGCTGAGCCTTGGCTGTGCTAGTGGATGCCACCGTGCAGGCCGTGCTGGGCATTTGGGAGCGGGCCCAGGGGTGGCGTCCTCATACCTGGTTCTTGTCAAACTCATTCATAGCCTGTGCGACACCATCGCGGTAATTCACCCCCATCACCCAGGCAAACCGAGGGACAAAGCCAGCATAGCCTACGGGAGGAAGCGGTCAGGGTCTTGCCCCAGGTCCCGTCCACCTCTCCCTGGGCATACCCACCTGCTCCCAGATGTGGCAGGGCAGTCTGTTCGGGCTCTTTCCCTTCCCTAAACATTTGTCAATTGCCTGTTGGGGCCAGGGGGCTGTGGGTGGGCAGGAGCTCTGGGAGAAGACGGGTTCTAGGAAACAGTTCTCAGGGCCGGGGCAGGGCTGGGGATAGACCCACGGGCAGTCCTCACTTGCTGTCACTCTCATCCTGTCTGGGCCCCTGGGAGCCTTGGAGTGCGTGTGGGGAGTGAGTGTTCTCATACCCACGCCCTGGGCACCCACCTGAGATGGCTTTGCGTTGGATCAGGTTGGGGTGGTCGAGCTGGGGCAGCCTGTGGAACCTGCCCACATCTAGTGTCTCCCGCTGGTGAGCTGGGGGTGGGTATTCATCCCTCCTGCAATGGTACAGCTGGGGTGGGAGAGGAGCAAGTCACTGCCTCAAACCCCACTTGGGTCTGGCTGGGGTGAGGCTTGGTCCCAGCACCTCTCCCAGTTACCTGGTCCCGCCCAGGGGCCTCGTGGACAGGGCTGGTGCTCTTCCAGCCCTCCTCCCCGTATGCCAGCCGCAGGCCTGGGTGTCCAAAGTCTCTGGAGTCCCCCTTCCTGCCTGGCGGGCACGGGGGGTAGGGAGGGTAGGGCATGAAGCCCACAGGCAGCAGGACCTGCCTGGATACATTCCCTACCCCCGGCAGCCCCTTCTGGGCGTCCACCTCCTGGGGTGGGAACTGGCCCAGGATCTCAAAGTTCTTGTAGGGCTTCAGACCTGTGCGGACAGGGTGGGTATGAGTGACAACAGGCGGGAGGGTGAGCCTGGGGCAGGCAAGGCTGGGGGGCGGGCGGCTCACCCGTGTAGTGGGGGATGTAGGGCTCAGTGAGGTCACGGCAGGGGATCAAAGGTGGCTTGGACTTGCGGAAGTCCTCGACGAACTTGGGCTTGGATATGGGGGACAGCACGGAGCAGGGGCTCTTCTGCACGCTGGGGTCTGTGAGCAGCTGGGCTGTGCTGCGCCCATAGGTGTTCCCCACCTGGTAGCGCAGCTGTGGGTAGAATCCGGCATAACTGCAGAGGGAAGAGGAGGAGGCAGGGCCCCTGTGCGCAGGGAGTGGAGCCAGGCCACAGGCAAAGGTACCTGCCCTCACCTGCAGAAAGCCAATCCCAGGAGCACCTGCCTTCTGAGGCTCTTGAGGCTTGAATGGGCGGCTCAGGCCAAGCACTGAGAACAGGCCTGGCCCACAGGTGATATGCACGGTCCTCCTCACCATCAGACCGCCATCTACCCTCTGCCCAGCCATCCTCAGACATGGAGCTTCAGGATGAGGGAACGGGGAACTCTGCCCCCTTGGAGCATTCACAGGGATGGTGACGGGGTCCGGGCCTGGACCCAGGCACAGCCCAATCTGCACAAGGTGGTCCCGCTGGGGAGGCGTTGCAGGGATTTGGCCTGGACTTTGGCCACCCACGAGGCCAGGACTTGAGAGGCAGGCAAGAGTGCTGCTGGTAGGAGGTGGTTGAGCTGAGTGTCGTTTAGAGAGACAAGGGGAGGTACTGTAGGCCTCCCTGCAGGCCCCAAATGGGGGTAGTGCTGGGGCCGGAATGATCACCCAAGCAGTGAGATTTTTTTTTTTGAAAAAACTGCCAAAGTGAATGCAGAATTGCTAGTCTGAGAGAGAAGCAGGACTAGGGCACGAAGGGTAAGAGCCCTGTTCTGTGTCGCCTGGCCCAGCGTTTCCCCTAGAACCTCTGTGAAAAGTTGGGCCTGACTCCTTCCAGCCTGCCTTCCTTCCCAGGGATCCGTATACACGTAGGCACGCACATACACTCCTTAGAGGGCTCGCTTTTAGTTTTTACGTCAGGGGTACCTAGTGAGGCAGCCTGGCGTCCCTGCCAATCAGCCTACTCTGGAGGCTTATGTCTTTAAGACACGCAGCCCTCTATGGGGCATCCAGGGTTTACTTAGCCAGCCTCGGCCAGCTCTTGGGCTGTCTGTCCCTGGTGTCCTGCTCTTCACAGGCATGTTGACCTTCTGGTGGGGCTCTCAGCACAGGCCAAGCAGGGAGTGCTCCTGCCCTAGGCCTCTCCGGGGCCCTCAGGCCTCACCCCCACTCACCGGAGACCAGCTCTGGTGCTCTCTTCACAGGTGGCCTTGAGCCCTTAGGCCCAGCCCCACTCCCCCATCCTCCGCCCAGCCCAGCCTCCTCCAGGGCTCCAGCACTTACCCAGGGATATAGTGAGGTTCTGGCGTGAAGAGGTTGTGTTTCTGAGTAGCTGTCATCTGGCCTCAACAGCGCCTTTGGCGGCCCCAGCCCCTTCCAGCGACTGCCTCCCTTCCCTCAGAGGAGTCCCTGTTGCCTGGAAACCATTGTGAAGGGGCCTGCCATCGTTGGGCCCTTCCTGGCCCAGGACCCCTCCTTAACCCTGTGAGTGCTCCCATGTTACAGGTGGAACTCCAGGCCCAGACAGGCAACAGGCTAGGAATGTCAGCCTGAGGGCCTCAGAGCTCCAGGAATCGGGATGGCCATGTTGGCCCTGCCAGACTTGCTGCCCCCAGTGGCCAACTGAAATGCCCTGGAAGCTTCTCGGGCATTGTGGGAGGCCTCCTCGGGGAGGTGTCCGAGCTTCGGGGCTGTTGGGACTCTGTCCTGGAGAGTCTTTCCCCTGGAACTGGGCGCTAGTTGCCATTTTAAATAATCCCTGATTTTTTTTGTATAGGAATGACTTCCTAACTATAAAAGCAAAGGAAAGTATCAAAGGAAAAGATGAGCAGATTCTAGTACATGTCAAACACACACACACACACACACACACACAAATACTAAAAGGCAAACTACAAGCTGGGGGGAAAAAGATTGCAACAAGTGTTATGAAGAGATATACTATCTCTATACTGTGTAAAAACTTCACAAAAACAAGAAAAAATAGCACTTATGGCAGGAAAATGTAATGTGAACATCTCAAGAAGAGAACCCACAGTCAGGGGACGCACGGACACAAGGTTGAACCTCATGGAGGTGGTCGATGCTGGCCCAGCAAGGCCACAGGCGCGGTCTGGAAAGCAGTTGGGGGACACCGGACATTACCTACTTGGACGGGCCGCTTCTGCTCACAGGAACCCGTCTGAAGAAAACGACGGACATCTAGCTGAGGACATCCGTGGGATGTCAGCCATCATAGTAGTATTTGATACAGGGAGAAATTGGGACTATCTCAAATGTCCAGTGACGGGGGCTTGGTTACGAAAGCTGCACCTGCAGAACACCATGCAACAAGGGAGGGGCCCAGAGCACAGGCCAAGAGCCCCTCACCCTAATGAAACAGGTGTTTCCTGAAGCAGGTTTCTATCTGTCCCTCCTTCCATCCATCCAGAGCGCCTCCCGAGGCCAGGCAGGGTCAGTGCTGGATGGGAGAGATCTGCAGAGAAAGAGACTTGGTCGGGGTGGGGTAGGCCTGGAGGATGAGCTGTTCTTGCCTGGGCCCTGCTTGCATGGATTAGGTCAAGACCAGGGCTAGGGCTGGCAGGCTGGTTGGTTGCAAAGGGCACAGCAAGGGCCCTGGTGCCCAAGCGGGCTGTCCCTCATTTGGGCTCATTATTCCTTCACACTTCAGCCCGGGCAGCCCCATTCGTCTGTGACACCTTATAGCCTCTGTGCAGCTAAGCAGAAGATGGGCCCCCATACGTCAGCCCTGCCTGGGCCACCAGGCAGCTCCAGTCTCCAGACTGCCTCTGTGGTCAGCATGGTCCACCCAGACCCACTTTCCATTGCTTTGCTTTTCTGAGGGCTGGGTTTCCAGCAGGAGCTCCTCCTCCAGGGAGTTTCCCCGGATCCCTCCACCCTCCCCCTTCATTCTGGATGGCCCGGTACAGCTGGGCAACCCATAGCAGCTGCTCTTCTCATCCCTGTGCAGAGGCCCCAGTCCTCCCAGAAGCCCTGCTAAGGTGGACCCTGGCCGTCCAAGAGACCCCACATCCTAGGAGAGGAGAGGGGTTGGGATAAGGAAGGGGAGAAGAGAGGAAAGGAAGCCAAGCCAGAAGTGGCTGGGGCAGGCTAGGGGTCCTCCTGGCCCAGGCTGACGCCAGAGTGACCCACCTGGCCGGCCAGGGGAGGGGTCTCTGAAGGGCCCCTCCTCAGAGGGCTGGACAATGCTCCTTCCCCAGGGAGTCCCTGGCAACTGAGGCAGGGGGTGTCCATGGCTGGCTAATGAGGTCACAGAGCTCCAAGGTGTCCCTGGGGAAGGGAGCCAGATACTTTGACAATGAATTTTGACCAGAAAACTGTGAAATTCCTGGCGAATTTTTACATCAATGGAGGCCAGCACTGGACCCATGGCTCCCCGAGGCAGGGGCCACGTGTGCCAGCCCAGTACCTTCTCAGGGAGCTGGGTGCGCTGGGGGAACAGCCCAGATGGGGTGGCCACTGGGCTGGGTGGACAACGCTCCCCCCTCTCCCTCGTAGGCCCCAGGCTAGTGTGTTCTTGTGGAGCCCCCAGCCAGAGACCGCCCGGGAGGAGACGCGGCCCCCAGGAGTGCAGGAGTTCCAGGCTGGCCTCAGGATGCAAACGGGCTCCCTCCAGGAGCGCCCCCCTATCTGCACCCAGAACCTGAGGGAGCTGTGTGAGTAAGGGTCCTGGCTGCGCCCACCTCGGTCTGGTTTGGAGAGGCGGGCAGGGGTGGGAGGCGTCTGCTGAGTCCCCAAACCAGAGCTTGCTTCCGGCCAGGGCTGGAACGACGCCCACCCATCGTGACCGACCTGCAGGTCCCCGGCCCCGCCAAGTACCCGGTGCCGGATGCTTCAGTGCGCGAGTCCTCCCCACATCCCCACTTCAGCATCGGCCGCAGGTTCCCCACTCGCGGTGCGTGCCCCCTCCCTGCGCCCCGCCCCCTGCCCTGGGAGTGGGGCTCCGGCCACCAGCCTTCCTTCCCTCCCCAACCACGCTGCTGCTACTGCAGACGGCGGTGGCCGCAGGGCGTGGCAGACCTTGTGGTTCCAAAGCGAAAGCCCCTTCACGCGGAAGGCCGACTTTAACCAAGAGCAAAAGGTGGAGGGCCCGCCTAGGTAGTCCTGCGGAGGCGGGCTGGAGGAGGGGGCCGGGGAGGGGCGGGGCCCGATGGGGGCGGGGCCTGTCGGGGCCGGGCTGGAGGCGGGGCCCGGGGGCGGAGCCTGCGAGGGCGGGAGGGGCCTGCAGCAGCCTCTTTCCCTGTAGTGGCCGTCGCCCGCGAACTATCAGCCACTCAGCCGGCCTGCCTTCCGGGCCTCCAGCTTTGGGGGCCGCCGCCCCGCCTCCAAGACGCTTGAGGCCCCCGCCCGCCCGGGGCTGCCGCGGGCCGGGGGTACGGGTTACCGTACCCAGCCCCAGCTTCAGGCCCCTCCGCAGGCCCCGGGGGGCGAGAAGCTGCCCAGCCCCAACACCTACGACATCTTGCCTGGGTGCCGCCTGCAGAGCCCCCGCCCGCCCGCCTTCTCCATGAGCCGCTCCGCTGCGTTCGCCTCCTGGGTCAGCTCCTGTAAGGAGAGCTCTGAGAGAGGAGGCCAGGCCGCGCGCAGGGGTGGGGCCTCGGCCTGGGGGGAGCTGGGCGCTGTGCGGCAGCTGGCGCTGTAGCCTAGATGGGGCTCCCACCTTCTCCCTGCAGCCCGCAGTCCCGGCCCAGCTGCCTACTACGTGGAGGACTGCTATAACTCACGCTTCCCCTCGGCGCCTGGAGTGGTGATCCAGGGTGTCCGGAGACCCAAGCGCCATGACACGGGACCCTTCTGCACCCTGTAGTGCCTCTTCCGCACAGCCGGCCACCCGGTTATCCACGGAACCCTGGTCTCCCTGGGGGCCTTCCCAGGCCTCCCTGTGGAACTAAGGGCCTCCAACTCGGCCTTTTGACTCTCTGCGTGCCTCTGATCCACACTCCTGGCCGGCCAACCCCTCTGTGAGCGGTGGACATCAAGGAGGGCCCAGCCTGAAGCCCACCCGCCCCCCACCCTTGCCAAACAGAGATGCTGTCGGTTCTCCCCAACTCTGTTGTGTGCCCGACTGGTGAGCTGTCCCTCAGATGTGGCCTGCTGCCCACCTGTCATGTTTGGCTTTCCTTGGCCAGGGGTCTCCCTCTGCTTCCCCTTTGGTGCCCTCTTCTCTAGGGTGGGTGGGGTAGCAGCCTGGGACCTCTGGCTGGGGACATGATGGGAGGGGGCCCTGTGGGCAATACAGGACACCCCCACCTAGTTGTGCTACCCAGGGGAGTGGTTAAGCTGCCAGTCTACCCGAGGGTCAGCTGCCCTCTTGAGGTGAGGTCAGCCTGCCCAGCCACCAGGGAGGGCCCAGAGGACCAGCTGGTCAGGGCCTGGCCCCACTTCTTTGGCTCCTGCCCAAAGACCCTGTGAACTTGCCCAGCACCATGCAGGCCATGCCACAGCCAACAGACTTCCTGGGCCTTCACTTGTTAGGGTGCCCACAGCAGCAGCCTGCCTTTCTACCCAGGGGTTGTCCCCAAGACTGCCTCCCTTCCAAGGGCCTCACCTGCAGCTGGTGGTGGCTCCTGTCACCGTGCCAGTTCTTGCAGAGGCCCTTCTTGTGCCACCCGTGTCCTGAGCCAGAGCTTGACCCCTCCAAAAAGGCACCGCAACAGCTGCTATGGTGTGGACAGCAGTCCATTCTGCAGGGAGGCCAAAGCCCAGGGAGTCTGAGTGCAGTGCACCTGTGACCTTCTCTAGGGCTCAACCATCGGAGGTTGAGCCCCAACACCCCTGAGAATCAGAGCAGTGGCATGGCAGATGGCCGTCCTTAGGCCCTGGGCTCACTAGCTCAGCCAGCAGGCAACAGAGACAGAGCTGTGGAAGGTCTGGCCTCGGGAGCTTGGCTCAGGGGGAAGGGGGTGGAAAGCAACCCCTAGGGCTCAAAGTCAGGAGTGGGACCAGCAGGAAGGATGGAGCAATGCCCTCCAGCTGGGCTGAAGAGGGAGGGCTTCCTGGAGGAGGCAGTGGCGGAAGTGACTTTTAAAGATGATCAAGAGTTTGCTGGGCAGTAGGAAGGGAATTTCTAGCAGGATAAACCTCAGAAACCACGGCACACAAAAAGGGAGAGGGTGTGATATTTGGTGTGTCCAAACTCGGGAGGATACAGGGCTGTTTGGATGGAAGGAGGTGAGCTGGTGAGGTGAGAGGCTGCAGAGGGCTGAATGCTGGGTTCAGGGGCTTGCACACTTAGCAGTGAGGAGCCCATGGAGGGTGCGCACCAGGCAGTGTCCACCAACTCTGTATGAGCTTCTTGTACTGCAAGGGACAAGGGACACCATGAAACCTGAGCCTTGCGTTCGCAGTGTGTCAGGATGGACAAGTCAGCCTGAGGGCCTACCACCTTGGGTTCCCTTGGGGGTTAGATGCTCACGGTGATGAGAGCGAGGATACCTGTCCTTGGTCACGATTCCACTTTGCCCCCCCCGGTCTCTGCTAGGCATTTCCGGAAGCACACTTAGAGTCTAGTCTTTGCAACAAACACGCTGTGAGCTTCATCCCCCTCTCTGTTTGACAAGGAGGGAGCCAGGTTCCGGGGAGAGAGAGGGTCGTGCACCTGGTGAGGCCCAGGGGCAGGGAGCAGCTAGGGCGGACTGCTTCTTTTCTTGAAGCGAAAATACTCTCAGCGTCAGAGGTCAGCCACGGGATTTTTCATGGTTGTAAAAATAAAGTATGCGTGGCCAAATACCGGTTCTGAAATCCATAAGCAGGCCGACGCCCGCCGGCAGCACCCCCCCCGGCCCCCCCGCCCCCAGGTGCCCCGCAGCACCCCGCCGTGCCCGCAGACGGGCAGCGCACGCCACGGGGCCGAGCAGGAGCCGCGGCCGCGGAGGAGCCGCGCCCCGGAGCCTCGGGGGCGGGGCGCGGCTCAGGCGGGCGGGGTGCTCGTCCACAGCCCGCGCTCGCGTCCGCTCAGCCGGGCGCCGGGCGCCGCGCCGCTCCCAGGAACCTCTGCGCGGCGGCGGCGGCGTTCCCGGGGGACCGCTCGGCGGGCGGACCCGGCCTTGCAGGACGGAAGTGGGCGGCTGCGGTCCAGGCGGGGCCGCGGCGCGGGCGGGACCTGGCCGAGCTGGAGGGCGCCGGGGAGCGGGGCTCGGGCGGCCTCCGAGGCCCGAGCGAGCGGACCTCGGGGGCGCCTGCGGCGGCCGCCGCGGCGCCGGGGGAGCGCGGCGGGGATGGGGCGCCGAGCCGGGCGGGGGCCGCGGCCTCGGCCATGTTCGCGGGGCTGCAGGACCTGGGCGTGGCCAACGGCGAGGACCTGAAGGAGACGCTGACCAACTGCACGGAGCCGCTCAAGGCCATCGAGCAGTTCCAGGTGGGCCGGGTGGGGAGCGGGCGCGTGTGTTCCCGGCGGAGGAACCGGGGGCCCGAGCCGGCGGGCGCGTGTGTTCCCGGCGGAGCAACCGGGGGCCCGAGCCGGCGCCCCGCCGACGGACTCCGGCTGCGCTGTGGCCCGGCAGCACCCTTGCACCCGCCTCGCCGTGCACCGGGCCCCGGGGTGCTGGCCAGGCGTGGCTGTGACTGAGGTGTCCGTGGTCGCGCCCGCCCCGGGAAGCAAAGCCGACGCCCGCGCACACGGGGGGCCCTCTGTTTCCTCAGACCGAGAACGGCGTGCTGCTGCCCTCCCTGCAGTCCGCCTTGCCCTTCTTGGACCTGCACGGGACGCCGCGGCTGGAGTTCCACCAGTCGGTGTTCGACGAGCTCCGGGACAAGCTGCTGGAGCGCGTGTCGGCCATCGCCTCGGAGGGGAAGGCGGAGGAGAGGTAGGCGGGCCGCCGAGAGGCGCAGCCCTCCCGCCACACACCCGCCGTGGGCACCCGTGCCCTGGTGTGTCAGCTGTTTGGGGTCAGTAGGCAGCTGCTTCCCGCTGGGGCCTGTGGTGCTGCTTCAGAGAGCGAGTCTTTGCAGGTACAAGAAACTGGAAGACCTCCTGGAAAAGAGCTTTTCTCTGGTGAAGATGCCGTCCCTGCAGCCCGTGGTGATGTGCGTCATGAAACACTTGCCCAAGGTAGAAACCACAGGCCAGCGAGCTCAGGGCTCTCTCTGCCCAGCGCCCACACTTGGGGAGGTGGGGCTTGCCCTGCTCAGGGTGGCAGCTTCGCGCTGGGGAGGCTTCCTGAGCCGTCTGTCTGCCCAGACGAGGGGCACAAGCCGGGCAGAGACTGAGGCTTGGCGTGTGGATTGGGTGGTGGGACCCATGGCGGCTTGGCAAGAGCTGTTTGTATTCAGCTCGGCTGCCTGGTGTCAGGCACAGGTGGGCTCGAGGTGGTCTCTGCTGGGGCGCTGAGGCCTCCTGAGCTGTCTTGAGGGCTGGCCTGTGTGGGCGTGCAGGTTCCGGAGAAGAAGCTGAAGCTGGTGATGGCCGACAAGGAGCTCTACCGGGCCTGCGCGGTGGAGGTGAAGCGGCAGATCTGGCAGGACAACCAGGCACTGTTCGGGGACGAAGTTTCCCCGCTGCTGAAGCAGTACATCCTGGAGAAGGAGAGTGCGCTTTTCAGCACGGAGCTCTCCGTGCTCCACAACTTCTTCAGTCCTTCCCCGAAGACAAGGCGCCAGGGCGAGGTGAGGCAGGGGTACCCTGACCACCCCCTTTCCCACCCCCATGCAGGTTTCAGTTGCTCTGCTCCTGGAACGGTGGGCTTGCACGTGTGGCTGGCCAGGGGGCTTTGTGATGCCGTGCCTAGTGTGGGTCTCTGCTGTTATGTACTTGGCGCTTGGGGACTTGGCAAGCCTTCCCAGTGAAGCTCATCATTTCTTCTTTTGGCTCAGGGAAATTATTTTTTGTTTTTTTTTTTCTTTTAAAGATTTTATTTATTTATTTGAGAAAGAGAGAATGAGAGAGAGCATGAGAGGGAGGAAGGCCAGAAGGAGAAGCAGACTCCCTGCTGAGCAGGGAGCCCGATGCGGGACTCGATCCCGGGACTCCAGGATCATGACCTGAGCCGAAGGCAGTCGCTTAACCAACTGAGCCACCCAGGCGCCCAGGGAAATTGTTTTTAAGATATTATTTTTAAGTACTGTCTACACTCAACGTGGGAGTCAAACTCACAACCCCAAAATCAAGAGTCATATGCTCAACTGACTGAGCCAGCCAGGCACCCCTCTTTTGTTTCTTTTTTTTTTTTTTAAGATTTTTTTTTTTTTTTTAATTAGAGCACAGAGATAGAGAGCATGAGCAATGGGGAGGGGCAGAGGGAGAGGGAGAAGCAGGCTCCCCACTGAGCAGGGGGGCCTGACATGGGGCTCGATCCCAGGACCCCGAGATCCTGACCTGAGCTGAAGGCAGACGCTTCACCCACTGAGCCACCCAGGTGCCCTGCCTGTCTTCTGTTCTATATCTGATTCGTTCGTTGCTTTGGCAAACGTTTCTTGAGTCCTGACTTTCTGCCATAGGCGCCTGCACTCTTCACTGATCCCAGAGCTCAGGGTGTTTGCCTGGGGCACTCACAGTTTTAGGGAGGCAGACGCTACAGAGTAAATGTCACACGTTGGTCACTAGAGCTCGAGGGGTGGCCAAGGGCTGCAGAGACATGAGGCCGCAGAGTAAGGCAAGGCAGGGCTGGGAAGGGAGCACAGGCTCTGAAGGGGAGCAGGCTGACTGCCTGGGATGAGAAGGCTTACATGGCTAGAGCCGAGAGCAAGCGGGTGAATAGATTGGGGGGTGAGCTCAGGAGGGCTTGAGGCCCCCATGGAGACTTTGGCATTTCCCAGTGAGTTGGGGGTCACTGAAGCGTCCTGACCTGCTCCAGCATGACAGCTGAACAGTGGAGGGAGGTGATGGAGGCAAGCCACCAGATCAGTTGAGTGCCGCTGGGTGTTCTGTGGGTCCTTCGCTTTCTCGCCGAGGGGTATGTGCTGGTGTGAAGTGGGATCTGAACCAATGCTTTCTCCCACAGTCTGGCCAGTGGTTGCGGTACTACTTCCTGCCTGTGGTCTCTTGCCTCTTCTTCACATTTTCCTCCAAGCCAGTGTCCCCCTGGGTGGCCTGGGTCCTTCGGGCCTTCACCCACTGCAAGGGGAGAGGGTATCGCCCATGGTATGTAGGGTGTGGCTCAGCCACTGGGGCCACGGCTCTGGGTCCAACTGGCCTGAGCCTGAGCCTCACCACCTCTTGTTTGCTGGAAGGCCAGGCCTGGGCTGTGGTCAGGGCAGGCATGTGGCCGTTCTTGTCCACAGCGGCGGTGCCCGCTGGGTGGTGCTCCAGGTCTGCTCTGTGCGTCGGGGTCCCTGACTCCTGCTGGAGAGGCCTTGCCTGGGGCCCCCAAGGTTGCCTGTCCTGCGCTCACTGCTTCGGCCATCCCTGCTTTCTCTGCACTCACTGTGCCCAGCCTGGGGGCTGTTGGGGTGCTGTGTCGTCTGTTACCCGAGGTCGTGCTGTGTGTCCTTCACAGTGTTAGAGCCACAGGCCCAGCTCCTGTCCGCGGCCAGCGAGCAGTGAGCTGCGTTCCCTCCTGTTGGCTGTGGTGGTGCAGCAGGGGCCTTCTGCGTGGGGTGTGGGTTGCAGAGGCGTGTGGTCCCTGCCGAGGAATAGGGACAGGTGCCGGACGTGGGGCGGGGCTGCCACATGGCCTCAAGCTTTGGGGCAGGGCGGGGAGCCAGCGTCCCAGGCCTGAGTCCCCCTGTGCCAGCCGACTGGGCGGGCAGGTGGCAGACCTCCCACGCGGCTCGGGGGAGTCTGGGGTCACAGGTCGATGGCCTTTCAGGGAAGCCTTGGGATCTGATGTGGACTTCACCTCCTTAAACAGCAGAAGTGCCACCTCCGGACACAGAGCTGGCGTCTTGTGAGAGCGGAGACTCTCGGGTGTCAGGATAGGGCGGTGCCGCCCCAGGCTGTTGGTGACACTGTGGCGCGGGTCTCCCCACCAGGTGGTGCAGAAGCTGACACAGATGGTGGGGAAGAACGTGAAGCTGTACGACATGGTGCTGCAGTTCCTGCGGACCCTCTTCCTGCGGACCCGCAACGTGCACTACTGCACCCTGCGGGCCGAGCTGCTCATGTCCCTGCACGAGCTAGACGTCGGCGACATCTGCTCTGTGGACCCCTGCCACAAGGTGGTGGCCTTGCCGGCCCCTCCCCCCTCCCCCATCTCCTCCCTGTCCACGCCCACCCCCCCAGTGTGCCAGCCCCTGCCCCACCACTGCCAGCCAGGCTTTGGCAGGGGGCCACCCGCCCTGCACCCCCTTTGTTTGCCTGCTCCGGGTCTTCCTCTGCTACAGCTGGGACTGGCCCCGTGGCCGCTCCTGGACGCTTGCTTCTTTTGGGTTTTCCCAGGCCACTGGCCCTCCCCTGCTCCAAAGCCCCTGGAGGCCCCTTGTGTGCTGTGCTGGGGTGCAGCTTTCTGTGCAGCCTGAGACACTGTCACCTCCCGGGGGGCTGTGTGGTGTCAGGATGTGAGACTGTAGCACCCACCCCCACAAAGGGGTCCGACAGGGAGGCCCCTTGAGAACAGAGCACAAACACCGCCTCCTCCATGCACCGCCTGGCCCGCTGGGGATGTGGGACCTCAGGCCTGTCTGCCTTTGCACCATATCGGGCCTGGACCATGTGAGGCAGTGAGTCCTGCTGCCTACGTGAAGCTTGGGCAGCGGCCGCTCCTGAGCAGTGAGCACGAGTGCTGTCTGGAGGCTGTGGTCTCTGATCGCGTCCTGACCGCGCTTCCTCCCCGCAGTTTACCTGGTGCCTGGACGCCTGCATTCGTGAGCGGTTTGTGGACAGCAAGAGGGCCCGGGAGCTGCAGGGGTTTCTGGATGGAGTGAAGAAGGGGCAGGAGCAAGTCCTGGGGTAAGGTGCAGCCTTGTGCAGGTGCTCCCCGGCCCCCAAAGTCCTGTCCA